GTGTGTGTGTGTGTGTGTGTGTGTGTGTGTGTGTGTGTGTGTGTGTGTGTGTTTCCATCCTGACGAGCTGAGGGTTTGGCAGTTGTGACTGACAGTTTTGGAGCACTTGCTGGAAGTTGTGAAAATAAAGAGAATGTTTTTTCACTGAATCGTTGTACATTACTTGTCTATAGCTTATTTCACTTGATTAAACTGCGTACCCACAAATGAATCCAAAAACATGATTTACTTTACTTACGCTCTTCTTTTTCATCATACRATTCTCCATCTCAGCCTTGCTGTTTCATTTTAATGCTCTATGATGCAAACATTCAGTAAATAACACTTAACTGGATGCTAATTTGTGTGTGTTTTAAGWAAAACTCAGATTTATTATGTTTTGTGTTTTTACGCAAGTTAAAAAAGATTATGAAACTAGAAAATTTCTGAAGTCATTCTGATGGGTGGTAAATGCAGCGACACAAAACTGCAAAATTCACCAACTTTTTTCTTTAAAGTCCAGGAGTAAATTATGGCCTCATTTTGTAGAGGAAAAAAAAGGGCTTGACAAAATGCATTTTGACGTATAAACTGAAAAAAATAATAGTAATTGCTGTCAATCTACAGGCCCTGCCATACTTTGACATTTTAGACAACTTATGCCAAATTATAAAAATGTTTTTCAACACTGAAGCTGTCTACACTGAGGACAGAATGGAAGCTTCTTTTGGACGTGTCCATACTGTAACACTATCGAGTTGATTGATTATATAACTTACATGTGTATTCAAAACAACATTTCCATAAGGCAGTGTATGTTCTCTAAAACATTAGTGTGACAAGACCTTATATTTGAACATTTCATAGTAAAATCTCACAGAAGTCTGACTATGACTGCGTAAAAAAAGTTAAAAACAAAAATCAAAGTTATATAAAAAAAGTTACCAGCAGTGGTGGGAACAGTTCAGCAAATCTGAGAATAACTAACAGCTAACAGTAAAGTTAATTTTTCATTATCTGCTAAATATAGTTCAGATAATTAAGTCRAAAACAAAACCAACTATCCCCTCACACACGCAGCGCTGCATGTGTGAGTGTGTACCCATATTATTGCTACTGGTGGGGACGATTTTTTAGGAAAACGCAGCCACATCTTCGGAGGCTGATTTTGGGTGGGGGTTGGGTTTTAGGACCAAGGTGTGAATTGAGTTTAGGTTAGGTTTAGGGTCAGGTACCTGTGAGGTTAATTTTAGGGTAAATGATCAGGGTTAGGATATAAAAAAAGAATGAAAGTCAATGGAAAGTCCCCACAAGGACAGAGAAACGTGGTATGTGTGTGTAGCATTTTGTGTTCATTGTGACAAAGTTATATGTTGTATTAGTTTCCATGTTGTTCTGCTCAAACTGGTTGAAATGATCAAACTAGATCAGTGTGATGTTTAGTAAATGAGCTCCTGAGCCAATGCTACGTTTGAGCTCAGGAGCTAATGCTATATTTATTAGCTCTGAAGTTAATGATATATATTATTTTCCAGTACTGAAACGCTGCATGATTCTGTCATGACTGTTTTCTTGTCATTTTTACATGGTCACAAGACCACACGTAATTTTTTTCTGCATAGTATCATATTTTAATTTTTATGTTGCTTCATTTATTTGCATTGTACAGTATTTTCATTTAATTTTATTA